ATGTTTGCGGGGAGGGGCAGGCCCACACTATACGTAATTCACTGTCTATGTAACATTGCCACCCTAAAATCCAAAATTCAAAATCCCAAAATACATCTGGCCCCATGAGGTTCAGTAAAGGGATTGTGGGCTGTATTCTCACATGCCAGCCATTTCATCTACATTACCTTTTTTCAATCCTTCAAACAGCCCTCTAAGGTAAAGAACATACCCTGTTACAGGTAAAAATGATTAGATTCAGAAATTTAGTGATCTCTCAAAGCCACACAGTTGCAAAGTGGAAGGGATGGAAGTAGGGGAAAGACCAGGATCCAAACCCATGTCTAACTCCAGCATCTATGCTTTCTTTCTTTTTTTGTGGAGCCAAGGATCAAATTCAGGGCTTCACACGTTAGGCAAGCACTCTACTACTGAGCTATATCCCTGGCCCCAAGGGCTCAAACTTATAACCGCTACACTTAAAATGATGTATCTCCTCATAAGCATAAGGTCCTGAGTTCGATCCTCAGTACTAGAGGAAAAAAAAAAAGATGTATCTGGTAGTCTGCACAAAATAGGTGCTCAACACAAGAGTTACTGTGCTATAACTGAAGACAGCAGAAATGCTAACTAGGTTTCTGCCTGTCTTGAGAATCTGACTTCCTGGGAAAGAGATGGTCCCAAGGGAACAGAGTACAGGGCTATGACAGGCTCTGAGAAGAGACTATGTGGTAGCTACCATCACCCCACAACAGTTCTAAGATATCTTTACTTTTCCCCCTAATACTAGAGATTGAACCTTGGCACAAAACTATATCCCCACCCTTTTACTTTTTGTTTTGCTACATGGTCTTGGCTAAATTACTAAACTGCCCAAACTGTGCTGAAACTTCCAATATACCTAACTCAGCCTCCCAGAGTGTGGGGATTACAGGTGTGCACTATCACACCCGGCACCCCGCCCCCCCATGAAACCCATGAACACAAAGACCATGACTATATTCACTTCTGTAATCCTGAAGTGTCTGGGATAGGACCTCACTCAAGCACAGTGTTAACTATTTGCTAGAACAAGAACCTGGAACTCCTACTGCCAAGCTCCTCTTATTACAGAGTAGCTTCAGAGCATCAGGACATTTTCTAGAGCATCCCAGCTGTTTTGCAAAATGTCTCCTTTCTTTGCTATGTCTCAAATTTAAGTGAAACAAATATTAAGGATTTTTTTTAAAAAATCACAGGTCAGTGACTTTCTACCCTCCTGATTTACTAATTTTTTTCTTCTTTTGAGACAGGATCTCACTGTGTAGACCAAGCTGGTCCCAAAGTCTTGATCCCACTGCCTCAGTCTCCCAAGTGCTGGGATTACAGGCATCTTAACACATCTGGCATGACTTACAAATTTTCAAAAATGAAATTTTAAATTAAGGAATCAGAAGGAAGTTCAAGATCTCAGAATCAGTTCCACAAACCCAATTCCCAAACCACTGATCTTTTGGCCACTATACCTGGGAAGACAATGGATTAGCTGGCTTTGAGTTTTCCCAAAGTTCTCTCTTCAGCTCCGATTTCTAGCAATTGCCCACTCTCATCTCCCAGCTAAGTAGTTAAAAACCTCTTCAGTGAAAAGGGTATCAAGAAGTTTTTGTGACAGTGGGTATGGTGGCACATGCCTGTAATCCAAGCATTTAGGAGGCTGAGGCAGGATTGTGATTTCAAGGCCCACCGGCCCTATGTAACATGAACTTGTCTTTAAAAAAAAAAAAAGCAGCATGGTACCATGGTGTCAGGGACACAAGGTAGGTTCACAGTGATTGTTTTCTACCCTGGTTGTCATAAAACTAGGCTCAAAACTTTACAAAAGGTACGAAACATCTCTGAGCTAGTTTCCTCATCTCTACAATGGGGATAGTTAAGACCTGCACCTGTTCCTTTCATAAGGCTGCTAAAGAATCGTGGGAAACAGCCAATGTACCCAGCAAGGAAGCTTTCATGAGAACTTGCTTCCCTTCTCCCAAGCCTCACCCTAGGGATTCAGCCTCTAGTCATGATTCCTCTGATGCTAAAGGAAGGCCAGATGAACTTTCCTTCTGAATAGAGACCTGCCCAAGAGCTAGGAGTCTCCAGCACTCACCTTCTCTGCCATCCCCTCTTCTCCTCCAACGAAAAAGTCTGTTTTGCGTCGAAGGAAGCTGAAGAAGGTGTTCACAAGCTGAAAGACAAAGGGAGAAGACTGAAGTTATGGGGGTGCTATGCTGGGTACCCTCAACTGCACAGAATTCAACTTCCTTAATGCAGGAGGGACTGTTTCACTGAGCGTCCCAGCCAAGACCCCCTGGTCCCTTCCAGCAGCAAACCTGCCCTAACCTTCTTTGGATCACCTAAGAGGCATATTTCTGACCTTGTGTGTATCTCTGTGCTTGATCCACTTTCCTTGGGGTGCTAGAAGCAGCCTGAGCACACAGCATACTGTTCCTCTTTATCCAGGGCCTAAAATGCTTAAACCCGACTTTCATCTCCGGAAAGTAAAACATCAAGATCCTAAGAGGTGCCAGGAAGGGAGCAAATTAAACCACTAACATGACAGTTAAAATGGACTAACTCTGTCTGGGGGACCAATGCAACCAACTGGATGGGTATGAACACTGGACCAAGGTGTTAAGCTAGGTGATGTGGGGAAGTTTCTGAACTAACACCATAGGACCTAGTTCTAGAACCCTGTGAGGATCAAATGAGGTAATGGAGATCAGCCTTTAGCAGTGTTTGGCATAGAGCAAAAGACTCACTGATAGAAGGTAAAATCTTTGTAACACAGGAACCATCAACCATGGCTTATTCTTTCTTCAGCTACAGCGAGGGCACCTAGACTGTTGCTAAGTTATGGCCTGTCTTAAGTTTTTTGACTTTACAATGGTATAAAAACAACATACATACAGAAATCAAATTTTGAATTTTGATCATTCACTGGGCTAGCAACGTGTGGTTATTCTCTTGCAATGCTAGGCAGTGAGCCTCAGTTCCCCACCAGCTACTCCATCACAAAAGGAAAGAACCAAGGGTCTACAGTGCACTGTGTTGCTAAGCTGTGATGTTCAGTAAATCAGACACATTTTCTGCTCAATCATATTCCCCAAATTACAGTGAGTTTATCAGGATGCAACCCCATTAAATGTCAAAGAGCATCTGTACATGCTTAATGCAATTCTTGCTGAATGAAACAACCTAGTGGTGACCTAGGGTCAACATAAACAAGTCCTTTTGTGCCTGAGTGGCTCTAACCTGATGCTAGAATTATCTCAGTTCTATTGCAATTCTTTTTTTTTGGTAATGGGGATTGAACTCAGGACCTTTCGCTTGCAAGGCAGGCACCAGAACAACTGAGCTAAATCCCCGGCCCTCTATTGCAATTCTTGTTCCAGACACTTTTTCAATTTATTCAAAAATGAACTCATTCCCAAATCCATTTTGTGTCAATAATTTAGGGGGTTGAGGAAAAAGAACCTCTTCACATTTGTAGATCAGAAACACCCTATCATCTCAAAGGGCTTACAAATCCTTGGTCACACAGGCAACTAGGGACAAAGAGTGGGAATGGAAACTCAATGAAAACCTGTCCTGAGTACAACACAGACTCAGCAGTAGATTGTGGAAAGCACACAGGCCTAAGGAGCCTGGTCTGTCCAGGTCAGGAGCTTTGTGATAATCAAATCCCTGTCACTCTCGGGCCTTCGGGGGCTTTATGGAATGTGAGTTCTGGCCTAATCTCAACAGCCTTTTCTACCTCTAACTTTCTGTTTCTGTTTGAAAAAATCAAGTACAAAATCTGTGCTACTAGTTGACCCCTGTCATTCATACAAGATATGTTACTGGGTCATACAAAATGGGTTATGGTCACTCAGCATGAATTGTTTGTAAAATGCTCTGTCTGCTCCAGAAGAGCACGGGCAGGATTCCCAGGATCCAGCTGCTTGAATGTCTGGCACATATCAATCACACAAGTCAAACACATGTCGAATGAACAAGTTTCATTGAGAACTCACAGTCCTTCAAGATACTACTCTCCTATAACTTGAAACAGGGATTTGTAGTTTCATCTTCTAGACAAGGAAAGTGAGACGTAGAGAAGTGGAAGGGTCCCAAATTGGTATGCAGTGGAAACCAACTGTAAATACCAACTGTATTCCCTCATTCAAGGCCAAAAAAGACTACGTGTTAACATCAGCCAGTTCTCCAAGCCCCACCTCGCTCGCACACACTGATAGGCTGGCTCTAAATGTCTGTGCTAGTTCAAAAGATGCTCTTCGGACGCAGCGATCCAGTGGAAACATGGTCAGAAGCATGTACGGCACCAATGAGGGAGCGGGAATCCTAGGCTCTCGGGGAATTTCAGACTAGAACAGGAGCTCCAGAATTGCTAAAACTGGAACTACTGAGAGGCACCGAAGGGCCAAGACCGACAGCAGAGAGGTGAGCCCACCAGCAGGGTGGCCGGACCGGTAGCTAGTGTGTAATCAGACTGTAGGGGAATCTCTGGAGCCCCTGAGGCCAACCTTGGTCGACCTAGGCCCTCAAAGGTGGAAAAGGATGGAGGGACAGTGGCCTGGGCTACGCGTGGGCGAGCGCCGCTGGGCCAGGTGGGCCTACGGCGCGCGGGCCGTTACCTCCTGCACGCCACCCTCGTGCTGTTGCGCCATGGCCAGCAACATGCCGTCGAAACGCTCCTCCTCCTGCTCTCCGCCCATCGCGCCGCTCCCGACCCACGCTTGGAGGTCTGCCCTCGTGTCCCGCACTCTGCCGCTTCCCTTAGATCGCCTTAAGGGCCAACCGCTTGTAGCCCTCTTCCGCAGCGGAGCCGGAAATACGTACGCGCCCCACCGCCCAGGCCCGCCTCCTCTCTCTCTTCCCGCCTCCCTCCAGGCCCATGACCACTTACTGCGCGGTAAACAGCCCGCTTCGGAGCCCATTGGTTATATGCTGAGCCAATCAACAAGCGCGTCCATGACGTAGTAGGCGGTGCCAAAGGTCCGGGAGTTTGGCTTGCGTTGCTATGGTCACCAGATACTTTGGAGCCTTCTAGAAAGCCCTGGACTCAAATGCGGGGGTTGGGGGAGCTGGAGAATATTGGCAGTTGAAAAAGGACTGGGTTCGCTTCTCTCCTTTCCTAATGACTGCCCATCTTGTAGAGCAGTGGAACCGCAAATGCCTTTAGTCACCTCTAGCAACCCTACATTAGGCATTTGAGACTCCCGAGGCACTTCGCATAACAGCCTGTCTCCATGGTTATCACCACATATCCGCAAAGGCCGGCTTTATGGGGATACAAACTTCATTTGCACTTGTGGTGTTACGGTTTGGATCTGAAATGTCCTCTAAAAGCTCTTGTATTGAAGGATTTGCACACATCAGTGTTCATAGGTGGGTCCTTTGGGGGTGTTTTGATCATGAGGGCTCTGACCTCATCAATGTGAATGGATTGGGGGGGGGGGCTTTGTTATAAAAGCCAGCTCTCTGAGGGGCATAGTGTTGCTCGCCTATAATAGCTCTAGGGCTGAGGCAGGGAGATCACAAGTTCAAGCCCAGCCTGGGCAATTTAGTGCCTTAGACCCTGTCTCAAAAAAGAAAAGGGTCTAGGAATTTAACTCAGTGCAAGCTTCCTATTTGCTTCCTGGCTGCCATGAGGTGAGCAGCTTTGGTCCCCCACATGCTCCCTGCCATGATGTTCTGTGAAAAGATGGGGCCAAGTGACCAGAGTAAATCATTCCTCTAAGTTGTTCTTCTCTGGTATTTTTTTCACAGCGATGGAAAGCTGACTAATACAGAAGGTCTCCACGCTTGATTTAACACTCTTCAGTTGAAGCCTTGAAATTCTTAGTGTGGTAATTGCTAAAGATCTCCACATTTCATTTTACATTGGTCCCCACAAATTATGTAACAGGTGCTGTTAATGACTCCTGTTAAAGTTAGCAGGGTTGGGCCCGGGATTTAGCTCAGTGGTTTCGCTGCCTGCTGTGCAAGCGCAAGGACCTGAGTTCAATCCCCGGTACCAAAAAAAAAAAAAGTTAGCAGGTTTTATGGGATACTATGGACTCCTTCTAGAGAGTCTTTCCGGGTTTTCATTGTCCTGAACAAAGATGCATAAGTGAAAAGGGTAACAAGGTTTTACATTTATTAAAGGTTGAAAAAGAGGTATGCTCTGCAAAGTGACAGCTGACCACTAAGAGCACAGTGGCCATGCGGTTGGGGAGGACTTCTTTTATGTCCCTTGTTCCTTAGGCTCATGGCAGATTGAGGCTATCCTGTCAAAAGCCTGCTTGATCTCACACCAGAAGAATTGAAGATAGTGCTTTCTGGTTGTTCCTAGGTGCAGGACTTGTTTTTCTGCCCATGTGTCCTGGATGTCCGTGATTGACAGGTCACACTCACATCCTAACTTCCTGCCTCATTAATATGGGGGACAGGTCCCAGCAGTTTCAGGCCAACCCCTGTACTTATGCACTAAATCTCATCATCTTACTCTTTCTGGAGATTCTTCCCTGTAATTCATTATATTTCTTCTAGGCCCTGCATCACATATTTGTTTCTTCTGGATTATTCCCTTCAATTCACAAATGTGCTTTAATGTCACTTTTTTTTTTTGGTACCGGGAATCAAACTCAGGACCTTGAGCCTACCAGGCAGATTCGGTGCCACTGAACTAAATCCCCAGTCCTCACTTTTTTTTTTTTTTAGCTATTGTATGACCCCACTTTCTCCTTCTGCTGCCATCACACTTTCAGTTCATTCACAGGAAGACCTGAAAAGATTGCTGTGTTTGCCAGGTTCAGTGGCACATGCTTATAATCTCAGCTACTCAGGAGGCTGAGGGAGGAGGATTGCAAGTTAGAGCCTGGCCTGGGCAGTTTAGTAAGCTCCTGTCTCAAAATTTAAAAAAAAATTTTTAAAGAACATTGTACTTGTTTCTTCATTTTCTCAACTTCCACCTCTCCTCAATTTACTCAAATTAGTCTTAAAAGTTTTGGATAAAGTCACAACACTAAATTGCCAAAGCAAATGAACCACTATTATCTTACCTGACCTCTCAGCTACATGTGACACAAGTGACCTTCTTTCAGGAAACATTTTCTTCCTTTAGATTTCTGTTATGGACTGAACTGTGTTCCCTCAAAATTCATATGTTGAAGCTCTGACCCCACTGTGACTGTTTTTGGAGAAAGGGTTTTCAAAGAGATCACTATGGTTAAATGATTCTGTATAGGTAGGTCCCTAATCCAAGAGGATTGGTGTTCTTACAGGAAGAGGAACAGACATCAGGGATAAACACACAGGAAAGACATGCCAAGGACACTGTGAGAAGGCATTCGCTATCTACAAACCAAAGAAGGAGGCTTCAGGAGAACCCAAACTACTGACACTCTACCTCAGACTTCCAGCTTCTAGAACTGTAAGAAAATAAATTTCTTTTGTTCTCTCTCTTTTTTTTTTTGGTACTGGGGATCAAACTTGGGTCCTTGCGCTTGCACAGCAGGCAGCACAACCACTGAGCTAAATCCCCAGCCCTTCTCTCTCTCTTTTTAAGATAGTCTCACAATGTATTTCAGGCTCGTCTTGAACTCACTATGTAACCCAGGCTGGCCTTGAACTTGAAGCAATCCTCCTGCCTCAGCCTCCTAAGTGCTGGGATTACAGGCATGTGCCATGATGCCCACTGAGAAAACAAATTTCTGTTAAAATTTGCTTAAACCACCGAATCTGTGGTGTTTTCTTACAGTACTCTGAGCAGACCAATACAGTTTCTGTGTCACGCATTCATCTGGTTTTATGCTAATGTCACAAGTACTCTTTCTCCGTGTGCTGTGCTGCCCAGAATTGTAAATGCTGGAGGCTCTGCCTTCTGCTCTGTCCTCTTTCTTCTCTATGAGGGGTTGGAGATTTAGCTCAGTGGTTCTGGAGCCTGCCTCACAAGCACAAGGTCCGGAGTTCGATCCCTGGTACCAAAAAAAACAAACAAACCAAAAAAAACAAAACAAAATAAACTTCTCTTTCTTCTCTATGTATCCCTTCTCCTCAGATAATGTCAATGTTGTGGCTTGTGTCTAGATGTTCCCTCAAAGCCTCATGCAGTCTTTTTCAGAGGTTGCTGAATCTGGAATGTGTGATGCTGGGATTGAGGGTGTGCGGTTACTAAACCACTACACGAGTGACTGGTTGGGCACCGCCCTAATCCCAGTGGTCTGGGTAAGATAAAAAGGGCAGGAAGATGCTGTTAAGGTTCCCTTGTTGCCTTTGCAACCATGTGGACACCATGAACTATTCCTTCTCTGTGATGCCCCTCTGGCATGTGCCACCCTGCCTTGGAGCCAGCTGATTATGGACTGAAACCTCTACCAACTGTGAGCTAAATAAACTCTTTCCCTTTAACTTTGGGTGTCAGGTATTTTATCTCAGCAATGAGAGAAAAGTAACTGACACAGTCATGCTATTTCCCATCCAGACCTCCCATAAGCTCCACCCTCATCTATCTGCCTACCTCCTGGACAATGCCACTTGGATGCCTAACAGGTATCTTAAAACCCACATGGGGCCAGGGATTTAGCTCAGTGGTTTCACTGCCTGCTGCGCAAGCACAAGGACCCGAGCTCGATCCCTGGTACCAAAAAAAGAAAAACCCAGAAAAACCCCACATGGCTAGAAGAAAAAACCCCCCACATTGGGAAGATTAAAAGATCTGGAGATGGGTGGTGGTGATGGCTGTATAACACATGAATGTACCTAATGCCACTGAACTATACATTCAAAATGACTAAAAAGAGCCAGACATGGTAGTATACACCTGGAATCCCAGCATCCTGGGAGGCTGGGCAGGAGAATGCAAGACATGGACCACCATGCCTGGCTAAGTCAGTATCATCTCTTGCTTGGAGAACTACTTTTATAGTTTCCTAACTGGTCTCCCTACCTCCTTTCTTTTACCCTCCACCAAGCAGCCGGCCTTCTAAAGCAGTGATGGAAACCTTTTAGAGCTTTCAATGATTACAAACAGCTGGCTGTGGCACGTGTGCCATAGGTTCACCACTACTGTTCCAAAGTATAACCTGGATCTCATTACTCCCTTGCTTAAAATCAGCCTTCAGTGGATTGCCACTGCATTCAGGATAAATCCCAACCCAGCTGTGGCTCCCAAGGAGCAAGGCCATCAAGGTCCTGCCTGCCTCTCCAGCCTTGTCTCGTCCCCCTCTCCCCTTTACTCTTTGCTGCCTTCCTTCACTTCCTCAAATCCCTGTTCTTATCCCTAGGCCTTTATCAGCTAACTCCTTCCCATCCATCAGGTCCCAACCCAAATGCCTCTTCCTCTTTGAGGCTGCTACTGAAATTGATACACAGATTAAGCCTCCATCTCCATGATTTTTGCTAAGTGCCCTCTGCCTGTGTGTGTGTGTGTGTGTGTGTGTGTGTGTGTGTGTGTGTGTATGCACGCTACAGGGGATTGAACCCAGGGCCTTTTCACTGAGCTACATCTTCAACCCTTTTCAATTTTTAATTTAAAGACAGGGTCTCACTAAGTTCTGTGTTGCCCAGGCTGGGCTGGAACTCACAGTCGTCCAGCCTCAGCCTCCTAGAGTACTAGGATTACTTCTCATTTTTTGTAATTAATTACTACAATTGATTAAACTATATATAAATATACCATTTAAAATTTTTGGTTCCACATCCATATCTTCTCACTGGAATATAAATTCATAGAAGCTAGTGCCTGTCTGATTCATCTGAGTCTCAAATATAGTAGAAGCTTAATACATATTTGTAGAATGAATCAATGGTCTTTGCCTAATACCATTGACTCTCACCACATATAATGTCAGTAAAATTTACTGACATTCTGTGAAATGTCCTGTACTACACTGAACACTTTAGAAGCATTATCATGTTCCTATGGTATAAATGCTGTTTTTATTTTCATTTGGGAATGAAGAGAAATAAAATTATGTGCCCATGTTCACATGGCTGAAAGGGCAGGCAGGATTCAAACCCATGTAGCCAACTCCAGAATCCACACCTTGCCTTCTTCACCTTAGGATTCTGCCTGCCTGAGCTAGCATTCTCATTTTATAAATCAGCCCAGGGCACTTGTATGCTGTGACTCTTCCCTAAGAGGCCAAGGCCCAATCTTGAACTGTGGTGAGTTCACAGAGCTAACATATGTGGTCCAACAAGTCCTCTTGGTGAACAATCTCCCTTGATGACCTCTGGCTCCATTGGCACTGAACGCTACCAACAGCAGGGACAGAGGTGGTCACAATACCTGTACTAAGTGTTCTATTAGGGATGTAGACCAGGTGCTCTGTAAACACAGAAAGGAGTATTTTCTTCCTCCCACAGGTGGAAAAGGAAAGTCTGTGCCAAAACATTAACATTTTGAGCTGGATTGCATAAACTGCACAGGAATTTGGCAAGCACAAAGGATAAGGCAAAGGCATCCCTGGCAAGGGAACAGCATGAGCCAGTGATGGTGAACCTGTTAGAGGTTTCAGTGATACAAACAGCTTGCTGGAGCATGCATGCCATAGGTTCACCATCACTGACATAGGCAAATGCTTGGAAGTACAAAGAAGGTATGTAATCTGTTCAAGGACCAAAAAGGCAGTGAGTGGAAGGCTTTCTAACTGCCAATTCCAATTCTCAGCCCAGGGCTGGGGATTTAGCTCAGTGGTTCCGCTGCTTGCCTCGAAAGCGGAAGGACCCAAGTTCGATCCCCAGTATAAAAAACAAAAACAAAAACCAATTCTCAGCCCAGGCCCTCTGTAGCCCACGACCTGTCAGTTGTCACTGCAATGAATCTGAGGCCTCTGTACACAAGAGCAAATCTGGGCACCCCGACACGGGATTTTGTAAGCACTTGCACATACGTTGTCTTAAGGCATGTGCTTTAGTTTTACAGATAATTCCCAGCCCACTACCTGACTGACACAGAGTATGTGCTCAATAAGTGGCAGTTATTAGAATTATAGCAATTGATAATAAAACTTTCATTCCATTATTACATGAGGATTTATAGATAATTATGATGTCAAATTACTTTGTAAACCATAAAGTGCTAAACAGATGGAAAGGTATTGTCTTGAATTTTTCCTCCAGAAAGCTTCTAAATTCAAGCTCCATTACTCCATGTTAGCTTCTGATCTCTGATACTGGACTCAGATTACTGAGAACAGGGCTGGCTCTCCCTCTTTGGACTGGGGACAACTGAGGGTCAGCCCAGAACAGGACTCATCTCTTCTATCAGAATATGGTCTCTGAGGGCTTCCCTGTATCACTCCAGTCAGATTTCAGGTTCCCAAAGTCAGGACTGTATCTCTCCAGACTGAGGTCAGGGCCTAGAATGAGGGCAGCTGATGGCCCATCATTCTCTCTGATGCCAGCTTCGAACCTCTAAAAGCAAATGACCTCCATCAGACTTCAGGCTTTATTTTTTGTTTGTTTGTTTTTGTTTTATTTATTTATTTATTTTTGGTACCGGGGATCGAACTTGGGACCTTGCGATTGTGAAGCAGGCAGTGGAACCACTGAGCTAAATCCCCGGCCCCAGCCTTGAGGCTTTAGAGACCCAGCAAGGCTTTTCCTTACCCTCAGGAACTCCAAGATGGAGGCCCCAGTCTTCAGGCCACACATAGAGCTCAGAGAACAATAATTTCTCACAGGGCAAAAAAATCGCCAAGACATGACCCCAGGGACCTACCTGACAGCCCACCAGAGGGCCTCTCCCTCTTCAACTTCTTCTTCTGGAGAACAGAAGTGACAGGAACCATGGTGACAAGTGCCATCCTCTACAGAGCACTTGCTGTGTGTCCTCACAGACTCCAAGGAAAGGCACTGTGAGAGCAGATTTCCCATGAGGCTAAACTAAGAGGCTAAGGATGTGCATGTATCTCAGAAGTGGAGTGCTTGCCTGGTGGGGGTGAGGCCCTGGTTTCCATGCTCAGCCCTACAAATTTAGGGCCCTGAACTTACACACAGGCCATCTTAGGCACTAGGAAAAGTCCCAGCAATGTCTTCATAGATCAAATATATATACTTTTTTCTTTTTTGCTTGAAGAAGTAAAAATTTTAAACTACAATTAGTTAAGATCACTGTTTTTGCCCACTCTATCTGACTTTCTCTAGATCTGCTGATGTCAAAGAGGCCACAAGGACTCTCAGCTCCAACTAAAGGGAAGTTTAGGTGGAGATGCATTTAGTTTGGACTTGGTGGGGTAGAGTTAGATGGCTGGTGTCCCTGGAGCTGTCCTGGTGTAGACAGAAATAATCTAGAAATAATCCTATAATTTGCTGTGTGCCATGACCGACTCTGTGGAGAGCCAGAGGTTTCATCCCAACATAAATGAGTCCCAGCACACCGGAAATTCTTTCCATCATCATATGTATATATTGTCTTTTCATAGTGACACTAACTCAGAAAGGAAGTTCTCTCTCAGAAGGAAAATACAGAATATATATTATCATTAGTCTTAGATGTTCTTTGCATAGCTTTCTTTTCTTTTTACTTTAGTACTGGGGCTTGAACCCAGGGCCTTTGTGCTGAGCTACCTCCCCATCGTAGTTTTTACTTTTTATTGAGACAGGGTCTTGCTAAGTTGCCCAATTTGGGATTGAATGTGTGCTCTTTCTCCTTAGCCTTCCAGAATACTGGGACTATAGGCCTATGCCACAATCTCTTATTTTTGGGGTGCTGGGGATGAAACCCAGGGCTTCTCAATGCTGGGAACTGAGCTACAACCACTGAGCTACACCCTCAGCCCTAGTTTTCCTTCTTTCTTTCTTTCCTTATTTTTTGAAAGGAATTACACTAAGTACATTTTATCAAAATTCCTACCACAAGAGCCAGGCCCTGGTAGTACATGCTTGTAATCACAGCACTTGGGAGTCTGAGACAGCAGGATTGCTTTGAGTTCAAAGCCAACCTCGGCTACATAGTGAATCCAAGGCCAACCTGTACTACATATGAAACCTGTCTCAAAAAACCAAAATCAAAATGAAACAAAACAAACAAACAAAATTCCTACCACACGTTTATAAACAGTACTACAAATAGCAAATGTCTATGTGTGAAATGTTTTATGTATCTCAACTCTCAAGAATAATCTCTATTTTTGTGATGCCAGGGATTGAACCCAGGGTCTCACTTATGCTAGGCAAGTGCTCTACAATTGAACTATATACCCTTAACCCAGAATCAGAGCTCTTTGGAGTACTGGTTCATTCTAGGAGCTTGAAAAGTTGGTATCTTGTTATAGGAGAAAACAAGGGAATGTTCACAGAATGATGGGAATGTGTCAAAAAGATACAGACTCCAGGCCAGGTGCAGTGGCACACACCTGTAATCCCAGCTACTTGGAGGTTGAGGCAGGACGATCACAAGTTTGAGCCTATCCTGGGCAATTTAGCGACTTATCAAGACCCTGCCTCAAAACGAAAAATAAAATGGGCTGAAGATGTAGCTTGGTGTGTGTTCCTGGGTTCAGTCCCCAACACAAGAAAAAAAAATCCACAAAAGATGTGTGCCTGCTGGTCTGCTGTGCTTCATTCTTCAGGAGAGGAGAACAGGAAGCTAAGCCCTCATCCTCTAAGCCACCCCCGTCACCACGGCAGCCCTGCAGGCAGCCTTATTGTCCCAGAAGCTCTGAGGCTCAGAGATGACTGAGGATCATCCCCAAATCACTCACCTGGGACATGATGGCCCCAGGAGCAGATGCCAGGGCTAGCAGCGTCAGAGCCTCTCTCCCCATCCAGGGCACCAGGGCCACAGAAGGCCTGCCAGGCCGGGCTGGCCAAGGTCCAGGGACACAGCCCAGCTGAGGACCTCCCACCCTTCCCTCCCCCACACCCCTGAAACCTAGGGCCCAAACCACAGGTGTGCAGGTTTGCATACCAGGCAGCAGCAAGGGACAAGGCAGCAGCCTCTCTGTGAAACTCAGTCTCTGTCTGCACAATTAAGCCAGATGATAGGGAGGAGCAAACAAGGACTTTGAGGTCAGATAGATCTGAGCTCTGTCCCTTCCTGTCAGAGTGACCTTGGGCAAAGCACTTCACCTTTTCTTCACAGAGGAAAAATCTATGCTGCAGGGAAGCTCTCAATAGTAGAGTGGAATGTGACTGACATGTAGTAGGTGCTCAATAAATGGCAGCTGTGTTTGGTGGTCATTCATAGCCCAGCCTTTTAGGAGCTGCAGGAGTCCAAGCTGGGGTCAGGGCTCTGAAAGACCTTATCCCTACAGGGCCCCCAGAAGTGGAGTCAGAGGAAGGGGCCTCTTGAATGTACTTTGGGCAAAGTCCTCCCAGCCCCCAGGGTCCTGGCTCCCTTCCCTGCAGCCTGTTCCTTACCTACAACAGGAGCAGGGCCCCAAGGTTAGGCAAACAACTAGAGATAAGGGACTTCCAGGCTGGGCCTTGCATTCAAGGCTTGTCCAGCTCTGCAGCTGGCTTCCTGGCTTAGAGAGAACCCTGGGCTTGTGCGCACATTCAGAGTGGGCACCAATAGAACACCAGTCACAGCCACCTGCTGATTGTGCACCTGAGGCCTTGGTGCCCTGGTACAGCCTGGGTTAATGACCCTGTTTATCTGCTTGAGTCATCTGATAAGGGACAGCCGGGCAGCGGGCAGGCAGTCCTGTGCCCTGCACCAGCCACTTCATTGACTGAGGAGATAACAATGCCACGTGGAGCTCCCAATGTCCCCTCCCCCACCACTTTCCTATCGGTCCTGCCAGGGTCAGTGTGTGCACATTATATTTTTTCAATGAACATGACTTCTAGAGTCAAGGTTATCGGGCCATTCCCCTTCCCGCCCACTGGGGATATAAATAGCACCCACGCCATAGCTCAGAGGGCCAGAGAGCTAGGAAGAACTAAGAGCAGGTTTCCAATCATGAGCTCCAGCCAGCCAGGAGCCTGCCCATGCCAGGGTGCTGTGGGCCGTCCAGCCATTCTGCATGCACTCCTGAGCCCTGGCCTAAGGGCCAGGCCCCCGGCACCCCCATCCCGCAGCCGTTGCCAGTGTAGGCAGCACCGCCCTGTCCGCCTGTGTGCTCCTCACCGCACCTGCCGGGAGGCCTTGGATGTCCTGGCTAAGACGGTGGCCTTCCTCAGAAACTTGCCATCCTTCTGCCAGCTGCCTCCTCAAGACCAGCGTCGGCTGCTGCAGGGATGCTGGGGCCCCCTCTTCCTGCTTGGGTTGGCCCAAGACACTGTGACCTTTGAGGTGGCTGAGGCACCAGTGCCCAGCATACTCAAGAAGATCCTGCTGGAGGAGCCCAGCAGCAGTTCTGGCAGCAGCCAGATGCCTGACAGGCCCCAGCCCTCGATGGCTGCTGTGCAGTGGCTTCAGTGCTGCCTGGAGTCCTTCTGGAGCCTTGAGCTGGGCCCTAAGGAGTACGCCTACCTGAAAGGAACCATCCTCTTCAATCCAGGTGAGCTCCCAGACAAGGCCATGAGGGGAGGGCACAGGGTACCACCAGATCTTCTGTGGTCCTCATTACCACCAAATAGCATCCCACAGAAAATGCCCAGAGAGGCTAAGTAACTAGCTGAAGTTCTCATGGCCAGGTAGAGACAGAGAACTGATGGGAACTTAGGTCTGTTCACTCTGGAGACTGGCCTTGGCCACTGGGCCTGAGAAGTCTGCTCTGAGCCTTAGGGAGTGTGGGAGGGGGAGACGGGAAGGGGCAGCTGTGTCCCTGTCTTGTCTTCAAGGGCAGACTGTGTGGTGATGTTCTGAAGGTTAAACTCCTCCAAGGAGATCATGTAAATAAGAGGAATGGAAGGGAGGGAGTGCTTGTGAAACCCAGCCAGGGGAACCAGGGATGGAGAGTGTGTGCCCACCGCAAGCCCCACCTAGCAGTGGCAGAAAGCACAGTGATCCATGGTAATAACAGCAAATACCAATGTTACACGTGCCATATGTTAGGCCTCATTCTAAAGGAGTGTTTTTTTGTTTTTGGTGAGTGTTTTGTTTTATTATTATTATTATTATTATTATTATTATTATTATTATTTTGGTACTGGGGATCGAACTGGGGACCTTGCACTTGCAAGGCAGGCGGCGGAACCACTGAGCTAAATCCCTGGCCCTTGTTTTGTTTTATGAGACAGAGTCTTACTATGTAGTTCAGGCTGGTCTTGAACTCACTATGTAGCCCACACTAGCCTCGAACTCACAGTGATCCTCCTGCCTCAGCCTCCCAGGTGCTGGATTATAAGCATGCACTACCACATCCTGCTTCTAAGGGTTTTACATATACTGGCTCATTAAAGACTCATAACGAGACAGGTATTAATCCTCATTTTACAGATGAAGAAACTGAGGGATGAAGATTAAGTAACTTGCCCAAGGTTATTCAGCTAATAAGTGTCAGTACTGGGACTAGATCCCAGGCAGCCTGTTTCTCAACCATTATTATATATTACTCTAGAAATGGGAGGAGTGACTAAAATGATAAATAATGCAGGCCTGGAAGGCCAAGAAAAGGTGGCAGGGATTTGGGAAGATAGTCCAGTAGCAGAGAACTTACCTGGCATGTGAGAGGTTCTGGGGTCCAGCCCTAGCACTGTAATGAGAAAGGGGTCACTGAAAGGCATCTGCTGGTGGCTTCAGACCCTGGAGCAGCTTCGTTCTTCGGTGGCTGGGTACGGGTGCTCACCAGCACTGTTCACCTCTCTGCTTGCAGATGTGCCAGGCCTCCACGCCTCCCCCCACATCGGGCACCTGCAGCAGGAGGCTCACTGGGCGCTGTGTGAAGTCCTGGAGCCCTGGCACCCGGCAGGCCAGGGCCGTTTGGCCCGTGTCCTCCTCACAGCCTCCACTCTCAAGAGCATTGCCCCCAGCCTCCTTGGGGACCTCTTCTTCCGCCCTATCATTGGAGACGTGGACATCGCTGGACTTCTTGAGGATATGCTTTTGCTGAGGTGACCTGAGAGGGCAGGCACCCCAGGAGCAGCTTGGACCTTGTTGGTTTGGACACAGTGCTACAGTCATCTAGCAGGGCTTTGTTGGTTCCCAGAGCCTCAGGGCCAAGACTTCCATCCCCTCCTGGAACGGGGATGGACGTTTAGGCTGCTCGTTTGTGTCAGAATTCCTACTGACTTTTTACAGAACTGAATTAAGTTATTGTTTTTGTAATAAAAGGTGTAACACCCTTGGAGCCTGATACTGTAGTTTGTGCACATGGAAGGGGCCATCTTAGCTCCACTCTGCCCCTAACAGAGGGAGCCCAAGGGGGAAGAACCGTGAGGAGCACAGGAGCCAGCTTTGGGCAACTGCAGTATTGCTTCATCAGAGTGGGGTGGTAATTTCATTTCTGGGGGTGAAACTGACCTTATGCCTGGTCTAAATCCAAGGGATGGTATCAGTTCAAAACTTCATCACCTCCTTGCCTTTATCCTTGGAGGAAGGGGTTTCTCTCCTCGTCCTCAAATCTTCCAAGCCGCTCCTGGGTTCCTTCTTCCTGTGGGCTTCCTCTCACCTCAGGAAAAGTGGGGTCACAGCTAGGCAGGAAACAGACTATTTCCATGTGGAAACAGACAAGATTACTGTGATTTTCTGCAGTTTGGGAACATTCACTTTCCCCCATTTCTGCAGCTGACAAAAGAGAATGGTCCAGGGCCGAGATGTAGATCAGTGGCACAGCGCCTGCCTTGCAAGCACAAGGTCCTGAGTTTGATCCCTCGTACAAAAAAAGAGAAAAAAAGAAAGAGAAAGAAAAAAGAAAGAAAGAAAGAAAGAAAGAAAGAAAGAAAGAAAGAAAGAAAGAAAGAATGGTCCATTATTCTCTCAATTCTAGGGGATCTGGGACCCAGGTCCCAGGGCTGGCTTGGAAGCATCTCGGACATTGAGGCAGCACAGGGATGAGATGGCTCACAACAACAGGGCCACACCAGCTGTCAAAGTCTGAAACACTCCCATGACAGTTTGTTCACAGCCACTGCCCTGAGCTCCTGGGTCCCCTTCCACTGGCCCTCTGCCCAGCCCCCATCCTGGAACTCTCCTCCTGGACATTCAGCCCTGGCCTCGGGCACTGCTCCATTCAGAGAATGGTTTGGTCCGTTCCGATTGGTCAGTGTCTACACCTCCATGCTTGCTAAATATTCTGACCCAGTTGCAGGGTGACTGACCTCCAGGGTGGGCAGGAGGAAATGATAACAACACACATGCCTATAGGGCTTTCCGGCCTCCTCCTTTCTCCAGCAGTAAGGCCTGCTCTGACCATGCCCCACCCCTTTGCCACCAGTTTGGATTCTTCTCACAGGGGCTAGGTTAATTATTGCTTAGTGAGAGGTCGTTCTTTCAAGGACAACAGTCTAGAAGTCATCATTCAGGCCTTTCTCAAGGGCCCCAGGTTAGCACCATGCTAAACTGGCCATGTATGCAGGATAGCACCCAGTACCAGCAGAAGACACCCCTGTCCCTTACCTACTTTCCCACTCGCAAGCAACCTGGACACATTCACTCAGGACCATGCAGCAGACCCAAACACATTCCCACAACAGACCCATGCACCCAAGCCGCATGGTACAGTTCCGCCCCCAAAGGTGGGACACAGAACGCAGGGACACCCTTACACTCCTCATCCTCCCTATGTTATGGCAAACAAAGAGAAAAGTGGCCCTCCAAGGAGGCAGACCCAGTGTCTGCACATCATCAGGGTCTACCCAGAGCTCGGAAATCCAGGACAAACTATCCTGCCTAGCATCTACCTCAACTAACCAATCATTCCCTTTCCCTGTGGTGACCCCAACATCCAACTGTCTCTCCATCAGTGCCCCCAGCCAGGACCTAATCAAATCCCCTAAAAGAAGCATTTTTTAGAGGGCTGGGGATTTAGCTCAGTGGTGCCGCTGCCTGCCTTGAAAACACAAGGTCCTGAGTTTGATCCCTGGTACCAAAAGAAGCATCCTTTAGAGCCCAGAACAGGCCTTGTGCTCCCCACCTCCCACCTGAGGCCTGAGCCTTAGCTGCTCTGGTGCACACCAGCCGCTCTAACCTCACCCATGCAAGGATTTGGGGTCATTCTATGACTTTGATATCCATTCACTGAGAACCTCAATTAGCTGAATCCTCAGGCTGTCTTCCTGCCTCTTACCCGCTCCTCCTCCAACCTCAACAAAGCATTAAGGAGCAGGTCCTCCATGCCGCAACCCCTGCTTTTCCCTGCAACTTATTTCATTTTTCCATCATCCAAATAACTTCCCTTTATTACCTCTATCTTGTCTTTTGCAAATTTCATCCCTTCTCTTTCTTTTTTTTTTTTTTTTGGTGTATGTGTGGCGGGGGTGAACCGAGGATCGAACTCCAGTCCTTGCGCTTGTGCGGCAGACGCCAGAACCACTGAGCTAAATCCCTGGCCCACTTGGCCCTTTTTTAGTTTTTATTTTGACACAAGGTCTCATCAACTTGCTAAATATCCCAGGCTGGGCTTTAACTTGCAATCTTCTTTCCCTAGTCTCCTAGCATGCTGGAATTTGGGATTACAGGTGTTCATCACAACACTTAGCCCTTTTTTTTAAGACAAGGCTAGTCCAGGCCTTTTTTTTTAAATAGTCCAGGCTACCCTTAAACTCACAATGTAGCTTACAGTGCCCTCAAAGTTGAGATCCTCCCGTCTCAGCCTCCTATGTGCTGGATTGCAGGTGTGTACTAGTGAGCTCAGCCTCTTGTATTTAGTCATTCCTTGGGTCCTACCTCTAAGTCTTGTGCCAGGAATATAAAGACAAATATGACAAAACTAAAGAGATGATTATGGTACCATGTAATGAAGATAATGCTCTGTCCAGGAACTTCAGGCTTTCCAAAGGGAGAGGACTGTGTCTCCGTCATCGGCATCCTAAGGTGGAACCTATGTTTCACTTCCAGGGAGGTGAAAGGAGGAAACAGGCCCAGATGAGGTCTGTGACTCATTCCAGGTCTGGGCTGATCACTGTTTGTGCAGGGCATTGAGCTCAGACCCTGAGACCTGAGTGATTTTGGAGGCCAGGTGCTTGCCACTGGCACAGGCTGAGTGAGTCACGGCCAGGATCAGCCTGTCTGGAGCCAACTCAGCCACTGTTTTCTGACCATCTATTCAGCCATGATCCCTGCCCTCCAGCCCAGCCAGCGGTGACTCAGTGGAGAGCAAGAGAGTGGACGTGGCTCTGGTACCATTTTATTGCCATCATTACCGCTATCTTCAGTAGCCAACTCACGGGCTGCCTATGAAGTCAGGCAGCTGATGTGAGCTGTTCCCTGCACCTTCCTGTTCTGCCCTTAGGGCATCTGCATATCCTAAAACCTACAATGGCAAAAAGCTAATGCTTATTATCTATCCTCTGTTTTCTCATTCCGTTACTCAGGGTCTCTTGACATTCACTTGTATCAGACCCTCTGCTAGATGCCCAGGATTGAGGAGGAAAAAAAAAAAAAAAAAAGTCCCTACACTCTCGGAACATCCTATTCATGGGAGAGGAAGACACGGCTGATGTACAATGGGAAGCAGCAATGACTAAGTCTATTACAGGTTTGAAAAAGGCTTCACCCAAGTGATGACTGTTTTGAGAATGAACAGGGGTTTGCAAGGGACAGCATTCCAGAGGGAATGACAAATGCAAAGGCACAGAGACCTCAGACAGCACAGGGCGACACTGCTAGTGGCCTTGCCCAGGCAGGGCTCAGGGCAGCTAAAGATGGGCCTGGAGAGGCAGACAGGAACTGCGTCACAGAATGAGATAGCACAGAAAGGAAACTCCAGAGATGCTGGTGGAAGAGGCAAGGCAAAGGTGTCCGGGGAATCGAGGTTAACAAAGGAAACACTGGTGCCCCAAGAAAAGGCCAGGCTGTGGGATGCTGAAGAGTCAGGGACATGGCCAGGTGCGGTGGTGCACGCCTGTAACCCCAGCTACTCAGAAAGTGGAGGCAGCAGGATGGAAAGTTGGAGGTCTGTCGGGAGGATTTCTACATAAATTTTGGGGAAAAATAATTTCATAATTAAAGTATGACTATGGCTGTCTAAGGCCCAATGTTGCCTTGCCTGAGAGCCAGCCATGGCATGCAGAAACATAACTCCGTTTTGCCTCCAGTCACAGCTGAGGCCTCAATGGTCTGTGAAGCTATGGCTCTCAATGGCAAAATAACAGCAGCTGAAGACATTGTGGTTCCTTGAGAGTCCAGTAGTAATACAAAAAAGAAAGGTTTCACCTGGGGAGGGACAAGTTTCTTATCAGTTTAACTCATCCCACCTACTGAGGTGGGAATACTCTCACTTCTGCCCTCATCATGAGATTTACATCAGCACAGGATCAGACATAAGATCATTGCTGCCCCCCTAAATCACTCGATACTCCCTCCAATTATTGTATATACCCAATTAATAGTGTCTAGAGGGTCTTTTCTTTGCCCACCCTGAGGCACTGACCTCCCGGCCCCCCATATACCTTGAAATTACACAAGTCTCTATTGTCTTTTTCCTCTTTAGCTCTCGCCTTCCCCCTTTCTAGGTAGTCAGAGGATTCATCCTCCTCCAATAGAGGCCAATTTGGACAGTATAGCTAGAGAGCATGTTTTGAAATTCCAGAAAAAAAAAATATGGATCAGGTTGGGAGTATAGCTCAACAATAGAGCACTTGCCTAACTGAGCCCGGGGCCAGCAAAGCAACAACAAAGAGCAAAGTGCAGAGTCAGGGGTGATCAACTGAAGAATAAATAACAAGGAGACTCCTTCTCTACATACCATTATAAAGCAAATAAGAGTAAAAAATGAAGTTGTGTGTGTGTGTGTGTGTTACTGGCAATCAAACCCAGGGGTATTTTACCACTGAGCTACACACCCAGCCCTTTAAAAAAATTTTTTATTTTGAGACAGGGTTCACTAAATTGTCTTGCAGAGACTCAAACTTGCAACACACCTGCCTCAGCCTCCCTCAGTGCTGGAAATCCAGGTGTGTGCCACCATGCCCAGCTAAATATGAAGTCCTGATTATCTTTAGGTTTAAATTATTGATGAGAAATAGGATCTGTGTATCCTTCCAGGGATGTGGCCCTACTGTCTTTGGAGGAAGATCTAGCCACACTAAGCGACCCATTTCCATGTCAGTCCTGGGAATATTAATTCTATCAATGATGATTTACCAAGACTGCTATTTATTGAGCACCACGCTGGGGTCTGGAAATTTAGTTCCACAAATGGAACTTGTGAATAAGTATAAGAATATGACTTGATCACCTAACGGCTTTCCCAGAGCACATCATCTTTTTTGGCTTTATTTGCTGAAGTACTTATTTTTCAATTTTCAGATTTTTTTTCTAGTACCGGGGATGGAACTCAGGACCTTGCACTTTCAAGGCAGGTGCAGTGTCACTGAGCTAATCCCCAGCCACAATTTTCAGGGTTTTTTTTTTGGTACTGGGGGTTGAACTCAGGTCCTTGTGCTTGCGCAACAGGTGGCAAAACCACTAAGCTAAATCCCCAGCCCACACAATTTTCAGATTTTTAAAAGATTAGTTTCAACTAAATCCTTTCTGTATAATATACAGAAAAAGTACATAAATTGCAATATCACAAAATGAATACATCCCTCTAATCATTACCCAGTTCAAGAAATAGAGCACTGGAGTTGTGAGGTTGGATAGAAGAAATAAAAAGCTGGGTGTGGTGGGCACACCTGGGATATCAACACTGAGAAGCTGAGACAGCAGGATCACCAAGAGTTTGAGGTCAGCCTGAGCTACATAATGAGTTTAAGGCCATCCCAAACTACATAGTGAGCTCCTGTCTTCTAATTTTAAAAAGCCATTGGGAAGCTGGGCCTGGTGCATACACCCAGCTACTCAGGAGACTAAGGCAGGTGGACTGCAAGTTCAAGACTAGCCTGGAAAATTTAGAAAGACCCTGTCTCAAAATAAAAAATAAAAAGGGGTAGGGATGTAGCTCAGTGGTAGCATCCCCCTGGGTCTCATCCCCAGGACTGCATGTTTTTTAAAGGTGGAGGTGGGTGGTGATGCAGTTCTTTCATAGGGAAAAAGGAAGAAGGTTAGAAGAACTGGCTATAAGGAAGTGAATGGCTGAGAGGCATGACAGGTCTGTTGGCTGGAGAATGTTTTACCCTGAAGTCCACCTGTTCTCAGGAGGGAGTGCTGAGGAGCAGTTGTGTACTGCTAAGGATGGGCCAAAGTTCAGGGACCCAGGGGAAGGACAGAAGCTAAACCAAAGTTTAGTGAACAAGCATTTGTTTTGATTGATCAATGGGGACAAGAAGTTCATTTAAGCTTTTATGAGGCAAAGAACTGGAATTTTGAATCTGTATCTGGCCTTGTCCTAGATAAGTAAAGGGGCATCCACGAGCCTTATCTAAGTCATACTGGGGGAGCATGTTTCTTTGCAGTAAACTGTGTTCCAGAACACAAAAGTGTGGGGGTGGTGAGGGGTCTTTAACCTTTCCTGTTTTCCAGAATCACAGGGCTTAGGTCAAGTTCCACACTGTTATTACATCTCCTGGTAAACGTGTACAAGAATTCCTTAAAGATCTCTGCTACAAGTAGAATTGCTGAGTCAAAAGATACACTTCACTTTTAAGACGCCAGATTGTTTTGCAAAGTAGTTATCAATTAACACTTCCAATGGATGACAGTTCCAGTTGCATGTGGTCACTGATACTAGAGGTTTTTTAAGTTTTGCCAATGTGGTGGATGTAAAGTGAGTTTCATTGCTTTTCCCTCATTACTGAGGTTATTTTATCTCACTATGGAACATAGTGTTTCCTCTTCTATAAAGCATCTTTCCACTTTTTTTTTCCTTCCCAGTACAGGGACTGAGCCCAGCCCTTTCTGTGTCCCAACCCCTTTCTTTCCTTTTTTGTTTTGTTTTAAAAATCTTCCTGCCTCAGCTTTCCACAGTGCTGGTGTGCCACCATGGGCAACAGGCCCATTTTTCTATTGGGTTGTTTTATTGTTTTCTTACGGATCTATGGAAACGCATCAATATTTTGGACCTTGAGAGCTTGTTTGGAGGTTCTAGCAGGTGAGTGCAGCTACTCATAATATACCCTTGTCCTCCTCTATGCTGCAGTCCTCCTTCCTCTCTGCGGGGAGCACGCAGCTTCGGGAGGCAGGCACACGGAGCGGTGAGGGAGGAAGGGGACACCCGCCTAGCCAGCCAGATCAGCCAAATCAACTCTGGCGATCAATGAGGTGACAGATATCACAGCCAGATCGCCTTCATATCCATCAATATTTTGGAAGAATAAATGGAGGCTAAAAAGGTTCTGAACTGAGGAAGACTAAGATTTGGGAGACCCACAGCTAAGTATCTTAAAAGTGACTTCTGCAGGCCTGTTACAGTATCTGAGGCTCACTAGAGCCTTCTGAAAGAGCCCTATATCCTCATTTTTCAGGTGAAATTTTCCACCATTGCTCCGTGCTGTCTGTGGGAAAGAGAACTGGACAACTTCTTCAGGTCTTTCCTGGGAACCAGTTTCATACTTAGATGAGTTTTGTTTGGTTTTCTTTTTTGAGACAGGTCTCACTATGTAGTTCAGGCTGGGCGTGCACTCACTATGTAGCCCAGGATGGCCTCGAACTCACGGTGAACCTTCCACCTCATCCTCCCCAGAGCTGGGATTACAGGTGTGTCCCACTACGCCCGGCTCCTATGGGTTATTAAACGCGGCCTTTCAACCCCTCCAACTCGATTCCCCCCGAGCTCACCTTTGGGTGTTCCCGCGAGAGTTGCTTCCAGTAGATCATGTGACAACCCAAGATGGCGGCACCCAGCGATGCCGAGGAGGAGGAGGCAGTTTACCTGGTAGTGAGCGGTATCCCTTCTGGATTGCGCTCGGCCCAACTAAGGAGCTACTTTAGCCAGTTCCGGGAACAGCGTGGCGGGGGTTTCCTCTGTTTCCACTACCGGCATCGGCCGGAGCGGGTCCCTCCCCAGACCGGTACCGATTCTGGCCTAACTTCGACCGACTCTGGCGCTGAGAGTCAAGTTTTCGCTCAGACTGCAGCCACAGATGCCCACTCTGTTTCCACTCGGGACTCTTTTCGGGTCCAGAGCCACACGTGCTGCTGCGTCATCTCGGTTCGGAGGTTGGCTCAAGCCCAGAAGCTTCTTCGCATGTACTCCGGCCGCCGGTGGTTAGATTCTCAGGGCACTTGGCTCCCGGGTCGCTGTCTCATCCGCAGGCTTAGGCTACCCACTGAGGCATCAGGTACGAGTAAAAAAGAAAATGGAGTGGGTCTACGTACCTTTCCTGAGGCATGGTGAAGAAAAGTCATTCCTCAGGTTATGGCTCTTTAGGAGTTTAGGTCATTTCTGGACAGTTTCAGGCTGAAGTTGCACGCTAGTTTAATTCAGGCATTAAAAACGAGAGAAGGGCATATTCGGATAATTTTGCATTTACCTTCTGAGAACTTTTTCTCTGAGAGGTTGATTTTTTACTGACACAGAAGGAAAAAAGGAAATCAGATTTCTAACTCTTAACCTAAAATGAACAGCAGAGAGGCAAGCTCTCCAAAGAATGTATTCAGGATTGGAAGATATGCCTGGACCCTAGGGGGCCATAAGTGTATCCAGGGAGGTTTGAGAAGGTATGGGGTTTTTTTGTTTGTTTTGTGTTTTTGGTACCAGGGATCGAACTCGGGACCTTGCGCTTGCAAGGCAGGCGGCACAACCACTGAGCTAAATTCCTGGTCCAAGGTATGGGTTTTTTAATGGCAAAATGAAGAAAGTTACATAAGTTGTTTTGAAACAATTATTCTTGGCTAACAAGAATTAATAATGACAAGGATGGCTTTAGTTCGGGGTTGAACAGGTAGTTGCGAGATAGACGTTTTCATAGAAATATTTTTGTGCAAGGTTGTGGTTTTTGCAGACTTTTTTTGATAGTGTCTTTTATCAGTCAGATCGAATGAGGACCTTCCTTGGCTCTATTTTGTTAAGGTTTGGCATAAGTGACTTCATTTTGACTCTGACAACTTTCATAAATCTTACTGTCTTTCTTGCACTTTCTTTGTGCTCCCCACCCAGACAATCTCTTTTCTAAGGACACCTATTTTCTTGGGAATTGATTTTGATGGGGAAACAGGAAGTACAGTTTATTCAAACAGGTAATACAGAGCCCTCCAGTTTATTCATTCAACAAATGCTTATATTGCTAGGCCTAGTGTGATGCTAACTGGTATGCAGAGGACAGTTGGACACAGTCTGTGTTCAGAATCTACAGAAAAAGACAGATTGGGAAAACAGGTAATTGTCACAGAGATGTCATTCTAATTGTTAACTACTGGGCATGGTTTATGTATTGATGAAGCACTGTTCTAACCCTTTCATTTTCTTACACTTGTGTGCACATGTGTGCGTGCGCGTGCACTGTTAGGGTTTGAATGACAAGCACTGAATGAATGACATTCATTGAATGACAAGCATCTCCAACCCTTTTTATTTTTATTTATTTATTTTTTTGGTACGGGTGATCCAACTCAGGATCACTGCTTACAAGGCAGTGGTGGTGCCGCTGAGCTAAATCCCCGGCCCTATTTTTAAATTTTGAAGCATGGTTTCACTAAGTTGCCCAGGCTGGCCTGGAACTTAATCCTCCTGCCTTAGCCTTCCAAGTAGCTGAGATTTTAGGCATGTACCACCATGCCCAGCAACTTTTTTTTTTTTAGGATAAGGTCTCACTGTGCTGCCTAGACTGAGGCAGTTCTCCTGTCTCAGCCACTGCACTGGCCTAAATTATTGGATTTTCTTTAATGTGATGTTCAGGAGCAAACCCAGGGCCTCACACATGCCCTACCACTGAGTTATACCTCCGGCCTGTCATTGTGTTACTGATCCCTCGTGACAATCCTATGAGATAAAATTTATTGTTATTCCCATTTTATAGGAAGGAAGTTGAGAGATGCTTGGGTTATGTGACATGCCCAAGTTTACACAGCTGGTAAGCATCAGAGCCACAATACAAACTTAGACATTCTGGGCTGGGGATATAGTTCAGCCGAACAGCGTGAGGTCCTAAATTTAATCCCCAGTACAAAAACAAACAAAAAAACAAACAAATTTAGGCAATCTATTCCAGAGCCTTTTTGTTTTGTTTTTTGACATAGGGTCTTGCTATGTAGTTCAGGGTGGCCTTGAACCCACTATGTACTACAGACTGGCTTTGTGGTCATCCTCCTGCCTCAGCCTTCCCAAGTGCTGAATTTACAGGTGTGCACCACCTCACCTATTTTTTTTTTTTTTATTGGAGATGGGATTGCGATATGTTCCCAGGTGTGACTCAAACTCCTGAAGCCAAGTTATCCTGCCTCTGGCTCTCAGTCAGCTGAGGCTACAAGCATGTGCCACTGTGCCCTGCTAGAGCCTGTGTTGAGATGACAGAGGAGGAAGAAACTGACCTGGAGAGCTCTCGAAATGTGACTTTTTATCTAGATATTGAAGGGTAAATAAGAGTTTGTAGGAAAGAATGGTGTTCAAGGTAAATGCCATTTTCAAAGAAACAGAGATAAGAAATCTATGATACCCCGGGGCATGGTGGTGCACACCTGATATCCCAGTTCTTGGGAGGCTGAAGCATGAGGATTGCCTTGAGTTCAAGGCCAGCCTGGACTATATATCAAGACCCTGTCTCAAAAAATAAAACAAATAAATAGAAATCTATGAAACTTTCAGGGTATGTTGAATGTTTGTGGCTGGAACACGTTGTATGAGAGCTTGCAGTGGGTGGGAGTTGGTGACAGTTGAGAGTCAGCATGGAGCTGATGATGTGGCTCAGTGGCACAGCAGGTGCTTAACATGTGGGGAGCCCTGGGTTCAATCCCCAGCACTGCCCTCCCACCAAAAGGAGAAAGATCAGCAGAAGCCAAATTTGGAAGAAAGGTGAGGCTCAGCCAAAATGATACGTGGCATGAAATTGTTGGTGGTTCTATCAGAAAAGGAGGAAGGGACTAGGGAGAAGTTTGAAAGGGAACAGCATTAGGGTAATGGATTGAAACCTTGGTTTATTTCTGGCTCAGTGTTGCTGGAGGCTTTGGGTTTCAAAATCCATTCTTCAGCAGAGCAAGGTAGTGTGCACCTGTTATCCCAGCACTTTGGGAGACTGAGGGAAAGAGGATCACAAAAGAAATTCTTAAAGGGGTTGGGGGGTTTCTTGGAATGTAACTCAGTGTGAAGGCCCTGGGTTCAGTCCCCAGTATCCAAACAAAATCCATTTTTCTCCCTCCTTCCCAAGATTTGGGCAGCTTTCCCTTTAAGACACGGAAGGAGCTGCAGAGTCGGAGATCTGAGAATGAAGCCTTCACCCTGGTCGACCTAAGGCAGCTACCAGAGCTGAACCCACCAGCACTGATGCCCAACGGGAATGTGGGGACACCCCTGCAGATCTTTTTGGACTTGATCCGGGCCTGCCGCCTCCCGCCTCGAATCATCACTCAGCTGCAGCTCCAGTTCCCTAAGACAGGCTCCTCCCGGCGCTATGGCAATGTACCCTTCCTGTACGAGGACTCAGAGACTGTGGAGCAGGAAGAGCATGTGTACACAGCAGAGGGGGAGGAAATACCCCAGGGACCCTGCCTGATAGATCCACCCGAGGAGGAAGAGCCTGAGGATGAAGGGGAAAAGGAAGAGGAAGAGTCCCACTCAGACGATGTGAGTACCATGTGCCACCCTGGTCTTGCTGGTAGGTTAGAGGTCCCATCATTAATGACATCACTCTTCCATTGTGGGTTTGTTTGTTTGTTTAGACAGGGTCTTGCTATGCAGTCCAGGCTGGCCTCAAACTCACTATGTAGCCCAAGCCTGGCCCTGAGCTTGTGGCGATCCTCCTGCCTTGGCCTCACAAGTGCTGGGATTACAGGCATGAACCACCATACCTGGTTCCTTTCATTGTGTTTCACAAGAATTCTTAACCTGGGGTCCTCAGAAGGGTTCCAAGGCCTACGAGAACTGACATTGAATGTAAAACTATATTTTCACATGGATATATTGCATTTTTTTAAAGGAGAAGGTCCAGAGTTTTTATCAGGAGATTCTCCAATTGAACTTCTTTTCATTACCTCAGAAGGAGTGTTAAGAAGGGTTCCTTTTCATAGATGAAAATGTAATGCGGCCGGGGATTTAGCTCAGTGGTTCTGCCGCCTGCCTCACAAGCACAAGATCCCAAGTTCAATCCCTGGTACCAAAAAAAAAGAAAATAAAATGTAATGGCCAAGAAATGTGCGGTAACCTGCCTAATACCATTCAGGGAAGCAGTGGTAGAGCCGAGATGGGAACCCAGTCCCCCTCGATGCTCCTCTAACCTCTGTGCTTCCATCATGGCACTGAGCGGTTGATCACCTCTGCATTCTGACCTTAAGTCAGTGAATTGAATGCCAGCTTCCACTCTGACCTTGACAGCAAAGTGGTTATTTCTTGGACTCCATTTTCCAGGCTTGGTTTATTCTTCCATAAAGTCAACCAAGGTGGGATTTGTTAGGAAACCAGTTTCATGTGTTTTTATATATACACTGGGTAAAAAGTAATGCTCTCATGTTTCTTTGGTACTGGGAATCGAACTCAGGACCTTGCACTTTCAAGGCAGGTGGTGAAACCACTGAGCTAAATCCCTGGCCCTCTCATGTTTCAAAGCTTCCAGCCCAGTGGTGCTACCACATCTTTAGTGTGGCCCTGTCCTGGCTTTTCTGTAGTACTTGCTTTATGGTAGTGATTCCTATGGCCTTCTGGGGTTTAGCTAGGATGGGGCCCCTGGGCTTCAAGCCAAGAGTAATCTTGCATTCCACAAGTCCAGTCAAGCACGTGTAAGCCAAAGGCTAATATAGGATTCCAGAGACATTCCAGACCTGTTTCCTCCCCTCAAAGAGCCCAAAGTCTCTCTGAAGGGAGAGAACCAGTATCTGGAGAGGATGTGTGGAATAATGACCTAGATTTGCATGCTGCTCTGCCACTTTCTCGGTGTACTGTCATGGGCAAATCAGTTTACTCCTCTGAACGTAGGTTCCCTCATTGGAGAATGGGAAGAGTAATATTTGTTTTACAGGGTCATTGGGATGATTAAAGAAGATGATTCTAGGAAGGGCCCAGTGCACAGCAGTGTGCTAGTTCTTGTCCCTTCTTTCTTTGTAATGTATAAAGGCCTATGGAATGTGTACTCGTTAGCACTGAGAATTCAGAGACAGGTGAAAGACCTGTGGGGCCAGGTGTGAGGATTTCATGGAAGCTGTAGGACTTGAAGGACAAGGAAGATTTAACCAAAGGGAGAAGAGAAGGATATGGGAGAGGAAAGCACTTTTTTTGGCCAAGGGAGACCACATAGACAAAAGCACAGAGCTAAGAATAAGTTGGGCTTGTGGGTAGGAGCAAACTATGTTGAGAAATGTCAGTGGGGTGGAGAGATGAGATGGGTTGCTCAGGCCTTCAGGGACCAAATTCTGGAGAAACCTGAAGGATAGAGCTGAGGCCCAGTCTCACAGGCTCCTTACCCTAAGTCCCTCTTCTGGGAATGAGGTCAGGAAGTGGACAGACGGGTCACCTCTCCCACCTTCTACCAGGATGATGACCGTGGTGAGGAGTGGGAGCGGCATGAGGCATTGCATGAGGATGTGACAGGGCAGGAGCGGACCACTGAGCAGCTCTTCGAGGAGGAGATCGAGCTGAAGTGGGAGAAGGGCGGCTCTGGCCTGGTGTTCTACACTGATGCCCAGATCTGGCAAGAGGAAGAAGGAGGTGAGGCCATGGGTTACCTTGTTGCTACGCCAACAAGTACATAAGATAAATCAACTCCTAAGGAGAGGGATTTACTTTGGCTCATGGTTAGTTGGCCTCATTGCTTTTGGGCCTGTGATGAGGCAGCACATAGTGGGGGGAGCACATGGTACAGGAAGCCCATTCACATCCTAGCCAGGACAAAAGGAGAAAAAGCCCAGGGTCCCACAGTTCCTTTCAAGGACATACCCCCGATAACCTAAAACCTCTCACTAGTTCCCTCCTCTTAAAAGTTTCTGTTCCTTCTCAGTAGCCCTTGTCTGGGGACTGCTCCTTTAACACATGTACTTTTGGGGGATACTTAAGATCCAAATTACAGCAGGCGAGCGGGGCACCCGAGCAAGGGCAGAGGTGATGCCTGTTGCATTTTTGGGGGTCCTCTGTTCCACATGGTGGATTCCCTGACAGCCCAAAGAAAGAGATGCAAAACAGTCAACTCTATTGTGTATGGCAGACCAATCATCCATCCCCAATACTGACAGAGCATAAGAGCCAGAGAGCACATTTCTGGAGGGATCAGTAGAATGGACAGAAAATGCCTCCCCCAACTCCAGTTCTGAGTACCCTTCCCAGAAGAAAAACTTAAAAATACAAACAAAAACCCCAGGTTCTGGAACTTGTGTCTAACTCTAGCTTTAGCTCTCAGCAGAACTAAGAGTCCTTAACTCACTCTCCTGGATGCTTTTATATCCTCGCAGACTTTGATGAACAGACAGCTGATGACTGGGACGTGGACATGAGTGTGTACTACGACAGAGGTACTGGGCAAGGGGTGGCAGTACTGGGAGGTATGAAACTGGTGCCCCGGCTCTGAAGTGACTCTGGCAGGTAGGCTTTGCAAAGGCTGACAGGACCACCCTTGAGGCAGCCCACTGTACAGTCAGCCCTTGGTGTCCTCATGGTATGGGTTCTGGGATCCACAGACACCAAAATCTGTAGGTGTTCATGTCCCTTCTGTAAAATGGCACAGTACTGGTTTACAACCTACACAGTCCTGCTGTATACTTTATTTTTTTGTTTTGTTTTGTTTTTGAGACAGGGTCTCACTGTATAGTTCAGGCTGGTCTTGAACTCACTATGTAGCCCAGGCTGGTCTCAAACTCATGGCAATCCTCCTACCTCAGCCTCCCAAGTGCTGGGATTACAGGCGTGTGCCACCATGCCCAGCTCCTCGTATATACTTTAAATCATCTCTTAAAATATCATTTTTAGATTACTTAGAATAACTGTTACAACATAATAGGTAAATAATTGTTACACTGTATGTTTTTTGTTTGTTTGAGATAGGATCTCAGGCTAGCCTAGAACTTGTGATCCTCCTGCTTAGCCTCCCCAATGCTGTGATTATAGGCATGTGCCACCAGTCCCAGCTATTGTATTGTTTAGGGAATAATGATGAGGAAATAGTCTGTTCATATTCAATACAAAAAATATATATATATGGTAGGAACTCAATTAATGGGCCGGGGATTTAGCTCAGTGGTTTCAGTGCCTGCTGCGCAAACACAAGGACCCAAGTTCGATCCCCAGCACAAAAAAACCCAGAAAAACATATTCAGTACAGATCCAGTTTTTCCAGGTATTCATAATCCACAGTTGGTTGCGTCCACAGATGTACAACCTTTAGATCAGGCCAAATACTCGCCATCTCTAGTTACATTAATTGCTGCCTTGGACAGAGCTTTTTCTCTTCTTTGTGAGGAGGAAGGATACCTGGGGAAGGTCTGCAGGGGGGATTGGGTCTGATGGGCAGGCCCAGGTGGAATGGGATGGTCATGAGCTCGGGATCTGGTCAAAGCTTAGTTCTGGAGGGAAAAATGACCTGGGGCTGGGAGGGACCTGGGGTCTAATTTCATCTCAGTCATCTGTTGGGTCTGTGACTTTTCTGCACTATAATTTCCCCATCTGTAAGATGGAGAAGGCCATGGCTCCTACTTTTGGTGAACACCTAGTCCAGTGAGAGAAAGAATGTAACAGGACACCATGAAAATAAATCAGTAAGCCTTGTGAGGGGATCCCAGACACCTGATCCCCTCCCTTATGCCGAGTGAGACCCTTCCACAAACTGGCCTTGGTTCCCCAGATGGTGGAGACAAAGACGCCCAAGACTCAGTCCAAATGCGTCTGGAACAGAGGCTCCGTGATGGCCAGGAAGAGGGCTCTGTGATTGAACGCCAGGTGGGCACCTTTGAGCGCTACACTAAGGTGAGTGAGCACTATGCCCAGCCCACTGACCCCTTTTTTCCTTCTTTGCCTCCATTCCTTCTCCTCCTCCCACTCATCCCCCATGCCCCTAGAGGGAGCCCCACTTCTTGAGTTGTCCTTTCCCTCTACAGGGTATTGGCCGGAAGGTGATGGAGCGGCAGGGCTGGGCTGAGGGCCAGGGCCTGGGCAGCAGGTGCTCGGGTGTGCCTGAAGCTCTGGATGGTGATGGCCAGCACCCCAGATGCAAGCGTGGATTGGGGTAAGTGTGGCTGAGGGACTTCCCAGGAGCCTGAGCCAGTCTTTCAGCTGTATCCCAGTTTCCCTGTTCCCACTAGCTTTGGGATGGGTGCTGGGCACCCCCAGAGAATGAACTTCAAAACAGAAGGGCCTGGGATTTAGCTCAGTGGTTCCACCACCTGCCTTGCAAGTGCAAGGATCCGAGTTTGATCCCCAGTATTCAAAAAAAAGAGTTGGAAGGAAAATGTGGATCTGACATTCTTCTATTTGTCTTAGACTAAACCCTGAATTTTAACAGGGTCATCGATCCCCCAGGACAGTCATTGCCCCCATCTGATTTTGGATTTGATAGTTAGGGAGTCTGTCGTGATGGAATGAAAGTTGTATCTGAGATCCCTGATTGCTGATACTATCAGTGGATAGATGCAGAGATTTAAGGCTTTCCATCTTGGGGCTGGGAGTGTGGTTCAGTGGTACAGGGCTTGCCTAGCATGTATAAGCACCTGGGTTCAATCCCCAGCACTGCCAAAAAACAAAAACCCAGCAGTCTTGAGACAAACCAGAAATGAGTAGCTACTTCCCTGTCCTTTCCCAACTCCTTCACTGGGGTTTGAGAGAGAGAGCTGCACTCTCCATGAGAGCCCTTTTTTATCCAGGTATCATGGAGAGAAGCTACAGCCATTTGGGCAACTGAAGAGGCCGCGTGGAACTGGCTTGGGGCTCATCTCCACCATCTATGATGAACCCCTACCCCAGGATCAAGGGGAGTCACTCCTCCGCCGCCAGCCACCCACCAGCATGAAGTTTCGGACAGACATGCCCTTTGTGAGGGGTTCCAGTTGGTCCTCAGAACCTGAGTGAGAGCTGGGGTTTCTCTGGCTAGGATCACACACAGCTGCAGGACAGCGGCCCTCTGCCCAGGCCTTGCCAATGCTGAAGCAGAAAGAAGCGGCAATCTGTGCGGCTTGTTCTGAGTGCTTAGTACGAGCCTGCCTACCGGTTCTCTGCCTCAAGGACATTTTTACAAAAAGCCCCTTTCCCTTTCCTTGGGTATCCAGGTTTAATGACCACTTCTCCTTGGTCACCTAATCCTAGTACGGGTTTGGGCTTGCCCAGTACTTGAAAAGCTGGACTGCCTGAGGTCAAACAGCAGCCTTCCTTGCGCGTCTGAAGGAGGTCGCTATGAAAGCCAGAGTGAAGGGAAAAGGATCGGAAGAGGAGAGATTTGTGGCGCCGTTAAGAGAAGATCGTGGGGTGGACCCTCCACCGCTTCTACCCTCACTGGCAGGGACCGGGCCGGGCCGCTGCCGGAGGTGTCCCGAGATCTGCAGCATATCACAGAATAAAAACATTAACAACTGGAGCTCGTCTTCTTGTAATTCGGGCCTGGGGTAAGGCGGTTCGGGGAACCCACGTGAAGACCGTCACCCCCGCTGGAGAAAGGTGGCTCCGTGGCCACGCCCTCCGAGGTACGTCTCCAGCGTGGGGGCGGGACTTCCTCTCCGCGCCCGACGTTTCCGACGCCGCGCGGAAGTCTGGAGCTAATCTAGTCTGCTGGGTTGCTCAATCTCCTTGAAAGCTGGCGCTTGTTCCCGCTGTTCCGCTTTAGGCCGCACCGCACACTGCCTTCAGCCCTCATCGAATTGGGAGTCAGGGGTTCCCTGCTCTTGGTCTCGTCTCTGACGAGGCTGGCTGCCCTGTTTTCCCTCTTGGCTGGCCTGCTCCCCACCAGCCTGCTTTCTGCCCATGGCGACGGCCGCTCCGGCCACAGCCTTCGGGCAGGCGGTGATTGGTCCCCCGGGCTCGGGAAAGACCACTTACTGCCTGGGAATGAGTGAGTTCCTGCGCGCGCTGGGCCGGCGCGTGGCAGTGGTGAACCTGGACCCGGCCAACGAGGGCCTGCCGTACGAATGTGCAGTGGACGTGAGCGAGCTGGTGGGGCTAGGTGACGTGATGGACGCGCTGCGGCTCGGGCCCAACGGCGGCCTGCTCTATTGCATGGAGTACCTGGAAGCCAACCTGGACTGGCTGCGTGCCAAGCTCCACCCCCTCCGCGGCCACTACTTCCTCTTCGATTGCCCGGGCCAGGTGGAGCTCTGCACACACCACGGTGCCCTGCGTAGCATTTTCTCTCAGATGGCTCAGTGGGACCTCAGGGTGCGTCTCGTGTGGGGCAGGCCCATTTTGCTGATGGAGCAAGTGAGACAGGGAGGAGGACAAATGCCACGCCCCCATATCACACAGCGAGGTAGGGGCTGAGTTGTTTTGAAGTAAAACAGTTGTGAGTTCGAATTTTGGCTTTGCTACTGACTCGCTGTGTGATCTGGGTAAATCATCTCTTTTCAGCTTCAGTTTTCTAGTCTGTAAAACGGGTGTGTTAGTACCCAACGTGGGATTTTTGGAAGTAAGTAAGTGGATATGTGGAGAGTGGCAGGGCAATTGTTGTAAGTTGGCAGGCGAAAGTATAGAAGCAGATGCAGTGGGACTTGTACCTGTTGCCCACTGGGAGGCTCACTGCAAGGCATGTTTAAGAAAAAAAAATGCCTGTATGTACCAACTCACAATGAATGTATTCACTATGTGTTGCAAACATGTACAAATTTTTAAAAACCCTATGTATATAAAAAATGCCCATGTCTTCTGGGAGGAGGACATAATGGTGGCCATTAGAACAAAACAGAAGCAGAAAGACAGCATTAGGGAAGGCTTACACTCACTCTGTGTCTTCAAGCTCCCAGTGTGATGAGAGAGGTAGAGGAGCTTGATGTCTCAGGCGTCCTCGGGTCACCCTTACCCTCTCTTCCCCTCCTAGCTGACTGCTGTCCACCTTGTGGATTCTCACTACTGTACAGACCCAGGCAAGTTCATTTCAGTACTGTGCACCTCCCTGGCCACCATGCTGCATGTGGAGCTCCCCCACATCAACCTGCTTTCCAAGATGGACCTCATCGAGCACTATGGGAAGCTAGGTAAGAGCTCCTATTTCCAGCAGGCGGGCATGAGGGCGGCAAGTGGGCTAGAGTAAAGCATAGATCTCAGCTGAAGGAAGCTGCCTTTGTGACCTTGCATGGCCTTGTGATAGTAGCTACAACAGTCCTGAAATCCTGTCTTTTTACTTCTTATGATTCTGTGGCAAATACTATTATAGGTTTTGGAGACAAGAGCTACAGGTGGTGGTATATGTTGCAGAGGAAATAAAACAAGCTGATAGGACAGTAGTGGCTGGGGGTAAACAATGCCTTAATGATCTGAGGCAGTGGCATCTGACTGGGCATCTGATTGGTGGTGAGAAGCCAGCAGGAGGACTGTCCTAGGTGGAGGGTCCAGTAGGGATAAAGGCTTTGTCCTTGGGTTGATATAAGATAATATTATCAACCAGGCTGGGAGGGCCAAGATCAAGGTGCTGGCAGGTCTGGGGTGTGGTGACCACCTGCTCCTGGCTTGTACACAGCTACCTTAACGGCCATACCCTCATATGGCAGAGGCATTAGTCAGAGGACAGGAATAAGGTGGGGAAAATTGAGGGAGAAGCAGGCTGATACCGAGCAGGGGAATTGTCTGATGTCCTGATGGTCAGCATTTTTTCCCCTGCAGAATTGGTGTTCTGCTGTGCTGGAGGCATCCATTCCCCAAATGGCATCTCCAGCCATGAAGGAACCTAGAGAATAACAGCTAAATGGCCAGCACATGAGTAGGATGTGGGGGTTGTTGATAAAGTGATGTTGCGTTGTCTAGGGAGCCGGACCAGCAGTCAGGATGTGGAAGGACATCGATACCTCAGAGGAAACAGCTCAGCCCAGAGTACCCCCTGCTCACTTTAGGCCAGAGTAGGGAGCCTACTTTCCTTCTTTGAGTGAGAAATTATTCACAGAATGGAATCAGGTACCTCAGAACATCTATTCTGGTCTCCTCACTTTACAGTAAGAAGGAACTGACACCAAAAAGGGAAAGTCATTTACCCAAAAGGGCCCGCTGCTAGAATTCAGTTCAACTTGGCTGGCACCTGCAGATTCTCACAGCGTGCTGGGCCCTGGGGATACCAGCTGGCTGAGCTTCCTGAGGCCAGGACTAAGCAGGGTTCTCAAATCTGTTTGACATTGTTATTTACTATTATTGCCCAAGCACTTTTCTGTACCAGACACTGGAGTTTATGTCATTTAATCCTTGCAACAGACCCGTGAGGTGGAGACCTCTCTATAGCTTATAAATGGCAGAGCCAGCAGGTAAAACCAAGTATTTTCTTCTTAGTAATTTCATGTCCCTGCAGCAACAAATATTGAAGAAAGATAAAGGAAAAAAAGAAAAAGAAAATACAGTTCTAGTTCTTAGGTGTTATTGTGTGTTTTTTGTTTGTTTGTTTGCAGTGCTGGGATTGAATCCGGGGTCTTGTGCATGCTGAGCACATGCTCTACCAGTGAGCTACACCCTGAGCCCCTCCGGTCCTCTGGTCTTTAGTCTGATGCCAGCTACTCCTAATCTCTACTTTTTCTCCTTAGCCTTCAACCTGGACTACTACACAGAGGTCCTGGACCTCTCCTATCTGCTTGACCACCTGGCTTCTGATCCTTTCTTTAGTCACTACCGCCAGCTCAATGAGAAACTGGTACAGCTCATTGAAGACTACAGCCTGGTCTCCTTTATCCCTCTGAACATACAGGTACTGAGTACTGAGAGACCTCTTCTCTTGGTCCTAGACTATGATATGCCTGGGACTCACTAGCCAAGAGCACAGACAGCTTTGAGGGCCTAACTGGTCTTCATCCTGGGTATGACTGTCATTGAGGCCCCTGCAGGGGCTGTTGTGGATAGGATTCCAGTAACAATGGTGGACCAAACTTTTGCCTGTCTATTCTGTATAATTGGGTCTTCTCAGTATGAAAATGGAAGAGTCAAGAAAGTCATTAGCAAGGGCCTTGACTAGGACCAAGGACAAATGTGTTAGGCTCATTCAGCTGGGAAACTGTGTTGAGTTTGTAAAGCAGCACCATACCCTGTGCCTCTCTCCCTTGCCCCTGTGAAGTTAACCTAGGAGACACAGGTGCATGTTTGGTTCCTTTCTGCAACTACTTGTGTCTTCCCTTTCTTTTTATTTTTTATTTTCTGCGCTACTGGGGATTAAACTCAGGACCTTGCACTTTCAAGGCAGGTGAAGCGCCACTGAGCTAAATCCCTGGCCCGTGTCTTCCCTTTCTAATGTCACACTTTTCTCATAAGATGATAAGGTGCCATCTACAATAGGAATAAACCCAGGGGGCCAGGTGTGTGCAGAAGAGCTCACTGGTTTTTTGGTTTTTTGGTTCTGGGAATTGAACTCAGGACCTTGGACTTGCCAGGCATGTGTGGTGCCACTGAGCTAAATCCCTGGCCCAGCTGACTGTTCCAGTCTGAGTGGGTAATATCAGAAAAGGTGAGACTTAGCCAGGTCTCCGGGGACATTTAGAGCTATCCCAGGCCAAGAAAATTCCATGTACAGAGGGATGGCAAGGTGAGATCAGGCAGGTGTATTTGGAGATCGTGGGCAAGTTGGTTTAGCCTCAGTTATGCACACCTCTATTTCCCTCACAGAATTGTTTCTCCTCTCTGCTCAGGACAAAGACAGCATCCAGCGAGTCCTGCAGGCTGTGGATAAAGCCAACGGCTACTGTTTTGGGGTCCAAGAGCAGCGAAGCCTGGAGGCTATGATGTCAGCCGCAGTAGGAGCTGACTTCCATTTCTCCTCGTATCCTTGCTCCCTGACTTCGCTCACTTCCTGGCCACAGCTGAGAGAGTGACACGTGGGGCTTGAGAATGGCCAGAGGAGGTGCGGTCACCACCCTTGTGGGTGACTGATCTCATACTGACCAGTTAGTTGGGCAACCTGGTGACTGTCTTTTTTTTTTTTATGTGCAACGGCTGTTCCCATAGAAGGCTGCAGGGTTGGTTGTACTCAGGACGAAGGAGGATACTGACAGAAGAGCAACAAACATAGAGGCCTAGCACAGAAAAAACGTCTGGTCATCAGGGAGAGGGGCAAGGGCTCCGGTTTGGCGGTGTGTGTCTGTGAAGAGAGAAGGTGCAGGGAGGCAGGCAGAACTGGGTGGTGAGGGACTTGAGCATTCTAAGGAGCATGGGCTTTTGCTCATAGGTGGTTGAAAGATCCAGTGTTTAGCGGGTGCTGTTGAAAAGGTTGTGGCTCAGTCAGATTTGGGGTGTGCGCATGTGTGTGAGGAGGGTTGTCCATTTTTTTCCTCCATGTACTGAGAATTGAACCCAGGGCCTTGCATATGCTGAGCAAGTGCTCTACTGCTCAGCTACATTCTCAGGCCCCAGCCCTTTTCTTTTCTCTCATTTTTCCCTTTTTTTGTGACACTGAGGATTGAACCCATATCCTTTGCACTAAGCTATATCCCCTCCCCTGCCCATTTTTTATTTTGAGACAGGGTCTGGCTAAGTTTCCCAGGCTGAACTCTAACTTGCAGTCCTCCTACCTTGGACTCTGGAGAAGCTGGTATTATAGTCACTCAGCACCTTGCCTGACTTAGGTGTACATTTTGGGAAAGTCCCACTAACTGGGCCATGCATTCAAGGGACATGATTAGGAGCAGGAGACACTTCTTTCAATCTTGTGAGGTGAGAAGGGGTGAAACATTTGTAATGAGAATAGAAAGGATGTGTACTGGATTAGAGAAATGAGGTAGACTGCAAGAGTTAGCGACAGTGGTTATTTTTTAGGTACTGGGTATTGAACCTAGGTCCTTTGCACTGAGCTACGTACCTTAGCCCTTTTTATTGAGACAGTCTCACTAAGTTGCTAAATTGCCCAGGTCAGATTCGAACTTGTGACCCTCCCACCTGAGCCTCCCAGAGTGTTGAGCTTACAGGTTGCGGCTTTGGTATAGATGGAGGTGGAGCAGTGTTCAGATCCCTGGGTTCTGCCGGAAGATGGTAGAATGGGTGGTTCTACTGGTGCCTGAGGCAAGGAGAGGAGAAAGAGGGCCATGCGTGTCAGTTGAAAGGATGGGAGGTGGCAGACCACCTGTGTTTGGGGGGCCATTACAGTCCAGAGGTGTCTTAAGCATCTGGACCCTTGGAACTGGGTTAGTGACCAGCAGGGAGTCACTCAGCTCATACAGCCGTGTGTGCGAGGTAGGGCAAGGAAGTCCAGGCCTCCAGGCTGATGATCTCAGAGATTCAGCATCTACACAGGATGGTGGAGACAAAGGAGTATGAGTATGGAGGAAAATGATTTCAACCAACATTTACTGCCCTGTTTCAGGCCTTTTACATGGGAAACAAAGCTTACAAGAACAAACAAGTTGTAAATAATGGCAGTAGAGCATGTAGTCCCTGATGAAAGGACCGAGGAGTGGCCTCACATGTGCCGTCAGCATGTTGTCACTGTTCCTTTGTTAGTATGATTTGTGTCCTCTATTTTCCTGTTGTTCCACAAGAGACAGGAGGCACCTTATGGCCCAAGAGAAATTTGTTATTTTCTTTGAGCCTTCTTAAGTTCTTTCCCTTGGTAGAAAAAGAGACATGACAGTATTTATTGAACACCAGGTGCCATGCTGGGTGCTTCATGGTCATTGCTTCATTTGATCCTCAGAACAACTCTGATACTTTACAGAGAAAAGGGAAGTGGTAAAATTAGGATTCAAACCCCCTCTGCCTGGCTCCAGACTGTGTGCCATAACACAGAGCTGGAGAGTCAGCACTCCCTGGTCCTTTGATCTTTAGGAGTGTGGAGAAGAAGAAAATACATGAGCATTTGGGGCTGGATGCTTTGGTGGCTTCTCAGACCCAGTTGGCCCCTCTTACCCGTGACCTGATGCTATAGGTTGAAGGGAAGGTGAGGGATGGGAGGTCTGCCAGGTGTGGTTAGAGGGTCCATGTAGTAGAGGCCAGACCCCACCCAGACCAGTCCTCTGCCTATGCTATTAGCCTTGACACCCTGCCCTCAGCACACTGGGCATCCAGGAGAGGTACCTGGCACCCTCCGACCAGTCGGTGGAGCAGGAAGCCATGCAGCTGTAGCAGCACCCTGGGCCCTGAAGAGCAGGGTACATAACGAGTAGCAGGGAACGTGGAGGCTCCTGAGAAGCAGCTGTCAGCCAGCAGGCTGCAATCCATGCACAAGTCCTCGCAGCCATCGAGAGGAGGCTGGCAAGGGAACACTCAACTCTGCAAAGGACTCTGGACAGAAAGCTGGACCAAGGGCAAGGTGCCCACCATACTCTTGGGGTGTCCTTAGGCGCTGGGCCCTGGCCCCAGGAAGTGCCACCAGAAAACTGAGAACTATCTCCAGTTGGGTTGTGTTGCAAAGTGCTATAATACAAGAGTTTACTTTCTACTTTTTGTGCCTTCCAATTTTCTTCAGTCCTCCAGGCCCAGGGCTTGGGGCAGAAGAGGGGGAACATCACTGTCCCTTCAGAGAGTCCTTGTCCATACTGGTCAGCATTTCTCCAGAGCATAGCATCCAACCCGCACTCTCCAGTGGCGTTTTGTTAATGTTCAGTTCTAACAGGAAGCCTCCAGCGGAGTCTTCACAGGTAACGCTTCCTGGCTAGACCATATTTAGTAATGTTTTATTTCTGTTGTATTTATTTCACTTTATCTTTCTAGCAAGTGTTAACTAGTCAACGTTTAAAAGATTAAAAGCTTCAAAAATGAAATAATTTATGCAAAATGAGTTGTCTAGAGAAAAATACGAGTATATGATAAAGTTGTTAAGAGAAAGTGAAGAAAGATGGGTTAAAGCTGGGAAACTGCTGCTTTTGCTGTTCTTGTAACTGGTGGGGAGTGCAGTTCATACTCTCAACCAGCAGGTGGCACCCCAGACTGACTTTTGCAGTTGTAATCTGAAGAGACTGATGGCCTAAGCAAGGTTATTGCCCTGAGACTTACTTGTAGGCTGTTAACACATACGCAGAGGGGATTGGCATGCCTTTTTTTTTCTTTTTCTTTTCATTTCTTTTTCCTGCACTGGGCATTGAACCCAGGGCCTTGCACATGCTAGACAAGCTCTCTGCCACTGAGCTGTACCCCAGCCCTTTTTATTTTATTGAGACAGAGTCTTCCCAAGTTGCCCAGTCTGTCCTCAAATTTGCATTCCTCCTGCCTCAGCCTCCTGAATAGCTACAATTACAAGTGTGTGCCACCATGCCCAGTAGGCTTGGTATTTTACAGAATGCTCCACACCTCATCCTCATGTGGTTCCCACAGCAACCTGTAGAGCTAGACATGGTAGGGACTATCGCTAAACCATTACCATCTTACCAGAAGGAAACAGAGAATGAGGGGCTTGAACCAAAGTGTCTGGCTCCAGTGGTGCCCTTTGCTGACTGAATTGTGTGTGTCCCTCATGTGGTGGACTTACAGTGAAAGGTTAGTTTTTGGGCTGGGGATATAGCGCAGTGGTAGAGGGCTTGCCTAAGAAAGCAGGGAGGGAGGAAGAAAGTGAGGATGCAAAGAAAGAAGGGGTAATTACACTCCTTATCCCTGAAGATTTTTTTGAGACAGTCTCACTGTGTAGCTCGGGCTGGCCTTCAACTCACAGCGATCCTCCTGCTTTAGCCTCCTGAGTGCTGAGATTACAGGCACGCACACCATGCTCAGTTTTCCCCACATCTTTTGTAGAAAAATTTAAGATACCCAGAGGTGATTTATGACTACTGAATCGTAAATCAAGGGGAAGATACGTCACTGGTGGTTTGAGCAGTTGGAGAATTCGTAGGAAAATCCATTCTGAAATGGCATGAAAATGGGATTGACTGACCTTGTGTCCCCATTTTGGCAGCCGTAGCTGAAGGCAGAAGAGTGAGGGGCTGTGAGGAGGCTGTGGTGGCTGGAGCAGTCTGACAGCAGACGGCCTCAGCTCCCATGCTTGTCTGCAGAGGGGATAATAACTGGGTGCTACCTCCCCAGCCTCTTTTATCTGAGTTCAAAGAACCTCACCCCTATTAATACTCTGCCCAGTAGGTGGGGAGTACTCACAGAGCAAGCCAGGGAAACTGAGGCAGACGGCACAGCCTAGGGCTGGCTATGAGTCACCTGTGGGACCTGAAACCCAGGAAGCCTGACCTCCAGGCTGCTGGACAAATCCTTCACCTGGGCCCGAGGGTGGGTGCTGCGCTTTTCAAGCTGTAGCAGTAGCTGCAGTCATGGGGTGTGATGTTCACCCTTCACAGAGGGCCAGGCGGCGCCATTTCTAGCTTCACGTCTCATGTCCAAGTACCCTCAGCATTTATTGTAGATGGATGGAAATAAATCAGAACTTTATTTTCTGGCCTTTATGTAACAGCAAGAGTATTTTCTTCTTCAATAGTTGTAGTTTTTTGTTTTTTTTTGTTTTGTGACAGGGTATTGCTGTGAGGCTCAGACTGGCCTTGAACGCATAGTGATCTTCCTGCTTTAGCCTCCTGAGTGCTGGAATTATAGGCACGTGCTACTACATCCAGCAATAAATGTAGTTTCTGAAGCAAAACATTTATTGGCACATTTTAGATATATATAATGATAAAATTCATCATAAGGAATAATACATCTCACTTCTCTTCTTTCACCATTCCTCTCCCCTCCCTTCAACCTCTTTCCCACCCTATTTACAAAAGCTTTGTTTGCATTTTTTCCTTCTATTCTTTTTCTCTTGTCCCTTTCCTTCCTCCCTCCTCCTCCCTTGTTTCCCTCCCCATTTGAACATTTTCTTCCCATTTCCCAGTACCTGTTATACATTTTGGTCCTTATTTACACTTTCAGTTTCTCATACCAGAGAAACAATGCAGCATTTAAATCTGTGTCTTATTTATCTCACCCAAGATTATGGTCTCAAGGTGCATCCATTTAGCTAGAAATGTCTCAGGTTTATTCTTTATGGCAGAGTAGTATTCCATTGTATAAAAAAACCCACATCTTTTTTTTTTTTTGGTACCAGGGATCAAACTTGGGACCTTGTGCTTGCGGTGCAGGGAGCAGAACCACTGAGCTAAATCCCCGGCCCACCCACATCTTCTTTATCTATTCATTGGTTGATGGGCATTTGAGCTGTTTCTAAGATTTAGCTATTATAAATTGTGCTGCTATAAACATGGGTGTGCATATATCACTGTGGTAGGATGCTTTTAATTCTTTGGGGAAGATACCAAGGGGAATAGCTGGGTCAAATGGAACCTCTAGTTTTAGTTTTTTTGAGGAATCTCCACACTGATTTCTGCAGTGCTTGCACCGGTCTACATTCCCAACAATAGTGGAGAAGAGTTCCTTTTTTCCCACAGCCCCACCAGCATTTGTTAAAAAAAATTGGTTAACTTTTTTGGGGGGCGGGTACTGGGGATTGAACTCGGGACCTTGAGCTTGCAAGGCAGGCAGTTGGTTGATTTCTTGATAGCAGCCATTTTTTCTGGAGTGAGATGGAATCTCAGCGTTGTTTTAATTTGCATCTCTTGAATGACCAGTGATGTTGAACATTTTTTTCATATATTGCCATTTCTGTTTCATCTAAGTCTGTTCATTTCAGATACCTATTTTTGGATTGGGTCTTTAAATTTGAGGGATTCTGATATTTTTTAGTTCTTTATACTAGATATTACTCCTTTGAGGAACAGCTGGCAAAAATTTTTTCCTACACTGTGGTTGTCTCTTCATTCTGTTGATGGTTTCTCTTGCTGAGCAGAAGCTTTTTTGTTTTTTGGTGTTTTTTTTTTGCTTTTTGGTACCGGGGATCGAACTTAGGTCCTTGGCAGAACCACTGAGCTAAATCCCAAGCCCAAAAGCTTTTTAATGAGATCCCAGTTGTTGATTCTTTGTGATATTTCCTGTGTGATTGGGGTTTTGTTCATAAAGTCTTTGCCTACACCAGTGTCTTCATGTGTTCTACCTATTCTGTCTTCCAGCAGATTTAGTATTCCTGTTTTAATATTTAGGTCTTTGATCCATTTTGATTTGAGTTTAGAGCATGGTGAGAGATATGGGCCTAGTTTTAATCTTTGGCTTGTGGAAAGCCAGTATTTGCAGTGCCATTTATTTATTTATTTATTTTTTTGGTACCAGGGATCAAACTCAGGACCTTGTGCTTGCAAGACAGGCAGGGTACCACTGAGCTAAATCCCCGACCCATGCAGTGCCATTTATTAAGAGGCTATCTTTCTTCTAGTGAAGGTATTTGACTCCTTTGTCAAAGATAAAATGGTTAAGTGTGTTTGGAGTTGTTTCTGCATCTTCTAATCTGTTGCACTGAGCCTCGGGTCAGTACCATGTTTTTTTTTAATTTAATCCCAGTAGCTCTGTAGTATAATTTCAGGTCAGAGTTTATGGTTCTCCCTGCATTGCCTTTGTTGCCCAGAATTGCTTTTGAGACATTTCTAGCTAAATGGATGGACCTTGAGGCCATACTCTTTTGGGGGGGGCGGGTACCGGGTATCAAACTCAGGACCTTTTGCTTTGAGGCAGGTGGCAGCACCACTGTGCTAAATCCCCAGCCCCCAGAATTGCTTTTGTTATTTCAAGTCTCTTCTGGTTCCAAATGAATTTTAGGATTGTTTTCCCTTAATTCTTTGAGATATGTATTTTGATTGGGATTACATTAAATCTGTATAACAGTTTTGGAATTGTGGCCGTTTTCACTACGTTGGTTCTTCCTACCCAAGAACAAGGGATATCTTTACATTTTTTGATATCCTCTTCATCTCCTTTTTCAGAGTACTGTAGTTATCCATGTAAAGGTCTTTTACTTCCTTTGTTAGATTGATTCCTAAGTATTTCATTTTTCTTTTATTAAGTTTATTGGTACATTTTATGTATACAGTACAGTTACATTCATCATTGGGAACATGTACCTTTACATGATGTATCTTAGTTCTTGTTTTTCCCCATTCCCCTGCCCTCCCTTCAACCCCTCCAACCCTCCCAATTTTTTTTTCCTTTGGATGTTATTGTGTTAAGTTGTATTACTTTTTTTTTTTTTTTTTTGGTACCTGGGATTGAACTCGGGACCTTGCACTTGCGAGGCAGGCGGCGGCACCACAGAGCTAAATCCCCGGCCCTGAATGCTATTGTGAAAGAAAGGTGTTTCCCTAATTTCTCTCTCAGTGAGTTTATTTGTGTACAGGAATGCTGCAGATTTTTGAGTATTGCCTTTGTATCTAGCTATGCTACTGAATTTGTTTATTAAATCTAGTTGTCAATACATGTAGTTTCTGATAGCAAAAAGATTTTGTTCCCTCTGCATACACTGAGCTGCTGGGCAGGAGAAAACACAGTGCAAGAAGGGAATGCATGGGCTCCAAGTGAGGCTCGCTCTGTGGAAAGTGTACAGGGTGAGAGAAAGACCATCTTCCGGTATGGCCACCAACCCTAGATTTTTTTTTTCCTGGTTAAAATAGAAAAGTAAAAAACTTGGAAAAGAGAAAGTTAAGTCATCCACAGAACTATCACAGAAATAATTGTTAATATTAAAGACCTTTTAGAAATTATTTTTTTGGGCCAGGGATTTAGCTCAGTGGTTTCACCACCTGTTGTGCAAGCGCAAGGACTGCAGTTCGATCCCCGGTACCTCCCAGCCCCCCAAAAATTATTTTTTCAATATTGGGGATCGAATCTAAGACTTCACACAAATTACATCTGTAGCCTTTTCTATTTCTTTCTCTCTCTCTCTCCCCCTCCTCTCTCTCTCTCTTTT